AAACAAATGCCAGGATGAGAGCCAAATGAATAGCAAGGACATAAGAAATCCTTTTGTTTGAGATATGATTGAGGAAGGGTCAGGTAAGTGGTGTAGTCCAGAGAGACATGGATGAGAAAGATCACATGATAATGTTTTATGTCTTTCTCAAAGTAAGATCTTATATTTCTTATGGTTGTCAATTTCATTTCTTGACATGCTTGAGGCAAATTTCTCTTTAAATGACAACGGAGAGCATATGGGACAGCATGTCTAACTTTAAATGACAACTGAAAAATTCTTATAGGAGACATTGCGCCTTAAACTGTTCAAGTCTTCCTTCTTGAACATAAAACAGAGCCATGTGATTTTCCTTATCCATATCTCTGGACGGGATTACAACTCATTTTAGATAACTCTTTAGCAGTCATGACCCAGTCCCCCCATCATTATTTGGCTCATCTTGACTTGTTGCTTTTACAAAATGACCTCTAAGACACATCCATGTGAACTCAAGGTGCCTTTGTCTTCCAATAGCTAGGCTCTATCATGTAACTTCTAAACCACCAATTATTGTAGGAATACAGATCCATTCATCTATATATACTCATAATTGTATGCTTTCAGAAGCAAGCAACCCAATCTTTCACAATACTCTCAGGCATCAGTATTCACATCCTTCCTTCTTATTCTTCTTACACACAAGTACACAACAAGCAATGGGTTTCCGTCTACCTCTAATCAGGAGGGCTTCATTCGCTACAAAACTTACTACAAAATCTGGTGAAGTGCCAAAGGGATATCTCGCAGTATACATTGGAGAGGAAATGAAGAGGTTTGTGATCCCTATATCATACTTGAATCAACCATCTTTTCAGGAGTTGTTAAGTGAAGCTGAAGAAGAATTCGGGTTTGATCATCCAATGGGTGCCCTCACTATTCCTTGTGCAGAAGATGTCTTCATAAAAACCACTTCTTCCTTTAGTGGGTGCTAGCTAACCAAGACATGATCAGATTAGTCAACCTACACAATTTTGTAATCATTTTGCTTTGTGTAAGATTTTTGTTCTTTTCTTCCCCTACAGGGGAAGTGAAAAAACTGTTTATCTCAAAGAGAAGATGAATAGACATTTTTCACGTTATCTCAACCAACTGTCAATATCAAAGACATTAAACATATAGTTAAGGTGATCACGAGTTGTATCTCTTTAATCTTTAATCTGATAATTCAAGTTCAGATTTCCCTCCAGGGGTATTAACATCAGCTCCCTCAGTGGTTTTCTAGAGAAGTGATCCCACATGCACGCCTATGCATATTACTTCTTTTTTCAATAAAAAGATCAATATATTAGACAAGGTAAAAAGACAATGTTGCAAGTCCAGTGTTCTCATCCAGTAACTAAGGGTGAGCTGAAAAATGATGACTAATGAGTCCCAGTGCTCTTATATTCCAACGGTAGCGTTAAGAAGAAGAGGAAAAGAAATGTTTTATTTGATACGCAAAATAATTAACTTTTATTTCATGGGAAAATCTATAATTTTTATTTTGAACTCAATAATTATAGTTTATAAACAAGGCGTACGTAGCATCATTTAAAGAAAATTATGTTTCTAACACTCGAGTTCACAAGCAACATGTGTGTCCCGAAGCAAAGCTTCATCAGAGTCCAATTTTTTTTTTAATTTTGTCCGTTTTTAAGAGTCTTTAAATGTTTTATTAATTTGTACAAATCATAACTTTGATTGACCTAGGAAAAAGATTGAAGAAAAACATAAGCCAATTAATCCCAAAGGGAAAATTAGAAATGTTGAGTTCATGAGATGTTATATAGAAGAGTAAAGCTCAATCATGAGTACAAAAAGTGTCGTAACGACATTAATTACGCTGGTTAATAAACTGACGTGAAGTATTGAACGGTAACATTGTAAATTATTTGAATTTTTAAGTTAAGTTTATAGAAATTAAAGAACCCAAGTCGTAGAAACCAATTTTTAATTTAATTCTAATCTTGAATTTAAAAATAAATCATAATTAACAATCAAATATGTTAATTTTATTAATATATGCTTCTAATATTATTTGATCTTCCAGTCCAGTGTTACCGGCTACTGAATTTTTACATATTTTCATAAAATGAGATAATATCATTGAAGACAAAAGCATAAATGATGTTGCCTCATCAGTCTCTCTCAGTGGCACTCTGGCATCTTCTATTCAAACGTTCTGTGACGCTTCGGATGGGTGGTATAGAGCTCTCTGGGTCGTCCATTCATTCCTTTATTTCCCATCATTAAATGGGTTTCCTTTAGCCTTATAAATCATAATTACTGAATTGAAATTAAAGATAATATAATAGAATTTTCCCATTAAAATTATATTTTATTATAAAAATATTTTTTATAATTCTACTAAATAGTTTCCCTGGATTAATTTGCCAGCACTGAAACGTTCATGATTCGAATTTACAGGATTAATTAATATATGACATTCTCTTCTCAATCTTGGCACGGGAAAACATATTCTGGTTGCCTATCAGTACTTTTCCGGCCAAAAAAAAAAAAAAGATCAGTACTTTGACGATTCAGATCGCATGAAAATTGTCTATTGATAAATTTGTCACATACACAAACATTTTACACTTCCTATGTAGGGATGGGGCAAATCCTTAGAGAAACAAAATTATCATCTGAATTTGCTTCTATACAAAATTGTATTGACTAATCTAAGTTAAAACTGTCGTTGCGAGCTAGCACCCATTGAGGCAAGCAATGACTTTCAGGAAGACGTCTTCTGTGCAAGGAATAGTAAGGGCACCCATGGGATGATCATACCCAAATTCTTCTTCAGCTTCACTTAACAATTCTTGAAAAGAAGGCTGATTCAAGTATGATATGGGGATCACAAATCTCTTCATTTCCTCTCCGACATTTATTGCAAGATATCCCTTTGGCACTTCACCAAATTTTGCAGAACTCACTTTTGCAGCGAAGGAAATCCTCCTAATTCCTGGTAAACGAAAACCCATTGTTGTTTGTGTTTAGGAAGAGACTAAGAAGGAACTGTTTGGATATGCTTGAGAGTATTGCGAAAGATTTGCGTTGCTTGCTTCTGAAAGCTTACAAGGATAAGTATATATAAACGAACGGTGGAGGAAAGGTTATGTGATAGAACTTACTTATCCGAAGACAAGGGCATCTAGAGATCACATGGAGTTGTCTCAGAGGTCTTTTCCAAAACCAAAAAAAAGTCAGGATGAGAGCCAAATGAATAGAGAGGACATCAAAATTCTTTTGGTTGAGATGATAGAGGAAGGGTCAGTTAAGCGACGTAGTCCAAAGAGACATGGATGAGAAGGATCACATGATAATGTTTTATGTCTTTCTCAAACGTAACATCTTATATTTCTTATGGTTGTCAATTTCAGTTCTTGACATGCTTCAAGCATATCTTACGCTTCCTTTATCTTTGCTGGTCCTTTATCTTATCGACATAAGGCTTTAAACAGTTCAAATGACTCTTCTTGAACACAAAACAGAAACATGTGGTTTTCCTTATCATGTCTCAGGTTTGTATTACAACTCATTTTAGATAGATCTTTAGCATTCATATCCAAGCCCTCCCTTCATTAGTTGGCTCATCTTGACTTGTTGCTTTTATGAAATGATCTCTAAGACACATCCATGTGAACTCCAGGTGCCTTTGTCTTCTAAGAGCCAGGCTCTGTTTCTTAACCACCAATTATTGCAGGAAGACAAATCCATTCACCTATATATACTCACACTTGTCTGATTTCAGAACCAAGCAACACAAATCTTTCACAATACTCTCAGGCATCATATTCAAATCCGTCCTGCATATTCTTCTTACAAAGAAAAAACAATGGGTTTTCGTCTTCCTGGAATCAAGAGAACTTCATTTGCTGCAAAACCGACGTCTTCGAAATCTGGTGAAGTGCCAAAGGGTTATCTCGCAGTATATGTTGGAGAGAAAATGGAGAGGTTTGTGATCCCTATATCATATCTGAATCAACCTTCGTTTCAAGAGTTGTTAACTGAAGCTGAAGAAGAATTCGGGTTTGATCATCCAATGGGTGCCCTCACTATTTTGCACAGAAGATGTTTTCCTAAAAGTCTCTTCTCTCTGTAGGTGCTAGGTGACAAAGACAAGATTAGATTAGTCCGCACAATTTTGTAATCCTTTTGGTTTGTGGAGATTTTTGTTATTTTTCTTCCCCTATACGGGAAGTGAAAAAATTGTTATCTCAAAGGGAAGTTGATGAATAGATTTTTCACGTTTTCCAACCAACTGTCAATATCGAAGCCATTGAACACATATATAGTTTAGTCTGGCTGCGAATTGCATTTTGTTTTAATCTTCTAGCAAAATTGAGGCAAAAAACTTATATTACTTGATCTAGTAATTCAAGTTCAGACTTCGCTAGCTCTAGGGGTATTAACGTCAGCTCCCTATTGGCTTTCCTAAAGAAGAGGTCCCAACCATACATACATACACATATGCATACTTAATTATAAACAAAACAACTTTAATTTGAGCCTCCCACTCTCACTTTTATTACTTCTTTATTTTTTTAATAAAAAGATCAATATATTACACAAGGTAGAAAGACAATATTGCAACTCCGGTGTTCTAATCCAGTAACTAAGGGTGAGCGGATAAATGTTGACTAAGTTCCAGTGCTATAAGATTCCAAATGTAGCGTTAAGAAGGATTGATAGGGGGAAAAAACAGTTTATTTAACACGCAAAATAATGTTTATCTCCTTGTAAAATCTATAATTTTTATTTTCAACTGAACAATTATAATTTATAAAGAAGGCGTAGCATCTGTAACCCAAAAAAAAAAAAAAAAAGAAGGCGTAGCATCATTTATGTTGTTGTCTTCAATGATATGATCTCAATTCGTAAATCATGTGGACTCCGATTAATAGACAGTAAGACCATACGAACTAAATTGAATTTTCCTTGTCCACGTTGTTTCTCTATGGATATCTAACCCATGCAGCAGCCAGATCTCATAAACATTTTGACAAATGAAAAGGTCATGTGATCTCCTATGGCCATTGTCCCCGCGTAAGAAAATTATATGTTCCTAATTCATGAGTTCATAAGCAACACATATATCATGGAAAAGAAGTAAAGAAAAACATATAAGCAAATTATTCGTAATGGGGGGAAATGTTTAGTTCATTGGTTGCTTAAATACTCCTCTGATCCTAAATATAAGACCCTTTTATTGTCTAAATTACACTACAAAAGAGGTCTTATGTTTGAGAGTGGAGTAGTATTATATAAGAAATTATGGCTTCAATCACTTGTGCAGAAAAAAAGTTTCCTAGGATTAATTTACTTGCACTTATACAAAGACTCTTTCGTTTCTCTATAATCAAATCTACATTTGAATTTAATTTACTTGATTAAATATAACTCTCCTCTCAATCTTGCCACGAGAAAACAAACTTTGGTCGCCTAATGTGGAAGATCAAAGCCGTTGGTATTCATAACTGAATGAAATTGTGTGAAAATTATATTGACAAATTTCTCATTGACGCTGGTTTACAATTCCCGATTAGGGGAAGAAAAGGCAGGGGAAAAAATTAACATAGCAGAAACTATGTGAATTGCCTTCGATACAAAATTGTGTCAACTAATCTAAGTTAACGTCGTCTTTGCTTGCTAGCACCCACTGAAGGAAGAAATGACCTTTAGGAAGATATCTTCTGTGCAAGGAATAGTGAGAGCTCCCATGGGATGATCATACCCGAATTCTTCCTCAGCTTCACTTAACAACTCTTGAAATGAAGGCTGATTCAGGTAAGATATAGGAATCACAAATCTACTCATTTCCTCTCCAACATAAATTGCAAGATATCCCTTTGGCACTTCACCAAATTTTGAAGAAGTCACTTTTGCAGCAAAGGAAGTCCTCTTGATTCCTGGAAAACGAAAACCCATTGTTTTCTCTGCGTTTATGAATAGAATGAGAAGGAAGTGTTTGAATAATTGTGATGCTTGAAAGATGTGTGTTGCTTGCTTCTGAAAGCATACAAGTATGGGTATATATAGATGAACGGTGGAGGAAAGGTAATGTGATGAGGCTTAATTATTGGAGGACAAGGGCATGTAGAGATCACATGGAGTTGTCTTCATGTCGTTTTCAAATAAAACTAAGAAGTTATGAGATGAGCCAAATGAAGTGAGAACTCTGTTCAAGCATAATTGAAAAGGATGAGCCAAGAATAATCCCCTTGAGAGTATTGAACAGATCAACAAGAAGCATGCATGTTTATTGCAATTCTGTAAAAGAGACTTTCAAAAGGCTCGATATTTATTTTGAATTTAAAACACGCCGCGTTTCTCACACTTTAAGTTAAATGCTGCTCCAACGCGTTATCAATTGAAAGGATGAAGATAAGGAAAACATAAGAGATGTCTCAAGCATGTCTGGAAAGTGAAATGACAGTTAGAAAATATTTAGATTGACACTAAGCTTTGAATTGTTCAAATAATCCTTCCCATCCATAAAACATAAAGCAGAACCATGTGATCCTTCTCATCCATGTCTCTGGACTAGACTACAGCTCCTTTAGCTAACCCTTCACCAATCAAATCTCAACCAAATGGAGATTCTGAAGTCCTCCCTTCATTTGATCCTGACTTGATTTTTGAAATAGACTCTAAGACAACACCATGTGATCTCTAGTGTGCTCTTGTCTTTCGGTAGGCCCTAACACGCCCTAACACGCAAAGCCTCTCCCTCTACCAATTATTGAAGTAAAGCAAATCCTTTCATCTATATATACACTCAAAGTTGCAAGATTTTCCAAAGCAACACAACTCATCAACATATCCTCAGGCTTCTACATCCTATCTCTTTCTTTACGTTCTCTCTTATCCACAAAAAATGGGTTTTCGTTTACCTGTTATTAGAAGGACTTCATTTGCTGCAAAAGTGGCTTCGTCAAAATCTGGAGAAGTGCCAAAGGGGTATCTTGCAGTATATGTAGGAGAAGAAATGAAGAGATTTGTGATCCCTGTATCTTACTTGAATCAACCTTTGTTTCAAGAGTTGTTAAGCTTGGCTGAAAGAAGAGTTTGGATATGATCATCCAATGGGTGCACTCACTATTCCTTGCAGAGAAGATGTCTTTCTAAACGTTACTTCTTCCTTCAATGGATGTTAGTTTGCAAAGGAAAAAACTTAGATTAGGAGACATTTTTGTAGAGGAGGCAATTTAGATCCTTTTTCTATGTAAAGATTTTTCTTTTCCTTCTTTTGCTTCCCCGACTATTCGGAAATGAAATATTGTTTACATGAACGACAAATTTTGTCAATGGACATTTTTTCATGTTATCTCAATTAATTATGAATATCGAAGCCTCAAAGGCGTTGAACTTTCAGTTTAAGTGACAGAGAATTTGTATCCTTATCCTGCAGGCAAATCTGAGAAGCAGTATTGTATTCTTAATCCAGTAAATTCAAATCAATTTTTGCTTTACGATAACAAAAGCGTCTGTGCAAGTGGGAGCATACAATGCCCCAAAAACTCTTAAGATTTTTTTACCAATAAAAAGTTGTACTTTGTACTCAAAAACTTGCATATCTATGTGTATTTCGTATTCAGTGATATTATCGATCTGAATTTATGAAAAACATGTGAACACAGCTCAATATACTGATAGATGACTAGGAACGAAATCAATTTTCGGGGACTCTTTTGAACGTTTGAAGACACCGGCATATACTGGATTAATAATGAAGTCCTGTGTCTCAAGAGATCATATTTTACCCTTGGAAAATATGGCACGACTCAATAAAAATTTTAAATTACATGTTTAATTAACAGCTTGTTATTAGATTTCATGAATATACATGGTTCATTTGTTTTCTGGCATGAACAAATATGGCATGCAAAATTCAATCATTCAGCTTATAAGATCACATTGTTCTACTAAAGATAAACCAACTTCATTTACTCCTCAAGTTTTAAATCAAGGCATCATGCTATTTAATTATGTCTCCAAATAGCCCTGTTATATTGCCATCTATCCATTTAGGCCCTCCCAAGATTTTGCAGATTTTGATCTATCTTGTATGAGTTGGCTTGATTGTTGTTATATATGCATAGTCTCATAACATCTTGAAAAGCACTTACAAGACAAGATCATCTGATCTCTTGCGGCCCTTGTCACTCATGTGATTGTAAGGTCAAATGTTGTTTTAAGAATTAAGAGAGAAACACGAGATTACAGTGCATGGCTTGTCTCACACTTTGTTCTTTATCGAATGGTCTTAGTTTAGATTGTGTTAGGCTATTTGGTGGGTTTTTCGTGATTGATAGATCAGACCACGATTACTGAGCTTTTCAACAGGCCACAAGCACATGTAATAAGTGACATGTTTTGAGCATGTCTTAAAAAAGCAACCACATCACCTAAACAATAATCGAGTTCTCTTCTGCTCAAACGTTGTTTGTCAGATGATAAAAAATGAACCATGGGTATACTGTGTTTCTGTAAATAAATAAAGAACGAGATTTTTATATTGAAGAAAACTAGAGACAGAATCATATGATCCTTCTCACCCATGTCTCTAGGCATTGGACTGTAGCGTGCACCCCATTGTACCTGAAAAGGAGACAACTCCATGTGACCTCAGTGAGCCTTGTCTCTCAATCATATTGGCCCTGCCCTATCACACCGCCCCTTTATATCCACAAATCAGAGAAGAAAATCAAATATTTCCGTCTATATATACTCATACTTGAATGCTTTCGAAAGCAAGCGACACAAATCTTTCACAATATCCCCAAGCTAAGCATCAATATTCAAACACTACTTCCTTCTTATTTTCTTCCACACGAAAAACAATGGGTTTTCGCTTGCCTGGAATCAGAAGGTCAGCTTCATTTGCTGCAAAATCGACAGCTTCGAAATCCGGTCAGGTGCCAAAGGGATATCTAGCAGTTTATGTTGGAGAGGACTTGAAGAGGTTTGTGATTCCAATATCATACCTGAACCAACCTTCGTTTCAAGAGCTGTTAGGTGAAGCTGAAGAAGAATTTAGATTTGATCATCCAAGGGGTGCTCTCACCATTCCTTGTGCAGAAGATGTCTTCGTGCATGTCACTTCTTCCTTCAATGGCTGCTAGCTTATGAAGACAAGACTAACTTAGATTAGTTAATTAACACGACACAGTTTTGCCGAGGAAGTGATTATGTCCTTGGTTTTGTAAAGAGAATGCTTTTTTTTTTTTTTTTCCTTTTTTCCTTCCCTACTTGGGAAGTGGGAAATTGTCCATCTGAATGAATTTATTAGGAGAATGTTTTCACCCACATCTCAATCTGAGTGAAGATTCATATTCTTCTTGCAGATCATCGAGGAAAAACATTTGTTTTATTCTTTCATCTGGTAAAGTCGAATCAAAATTTAATTTATTTGAAAGTACCAAAAGCTTCCTTAGATGAGTGTGTTAATAAACTCTAAGAAATTCTAGTCATTACTTCTTATTATAAGAAGCTCCTGCATATTTAAATTATTAATTTTTTTCATATGATATCCTTAATTAAGTATAAAACTTCTCAATTAATGACTTTATTGATGATAATTTTGATATTTTATAAAAGATAACTAATTTTAACTTTATTAGTTTATGTAAAATTGTTGACAAAATAAAATAATAAAGACCGAACAGAGGTTTTTTAATTAATTTCAAATCAGTAATTTAAAACAAGAGGAAGCATCATTTTCTATTCCTGTGTTCGATAATATTAACTGTTAGGATTATTCGGATTCAAAATCAATAACTCTTGTAGGACTATAAGCAAGATTGATAATTTTCCACATTGGTCTCTTTGTTCTTTGGACCAGCCGTCTTCAGCCTGGCCACTGAATCCACTAGATTAATCAAGTCTTAACATATAACAGGTTGTTGTGTGTTTGGGGGGGGGGGAGGGGTTTGATTTATTTGGTTTATAATAAGAAGAGTAAACTCCGAAGGGCAAATAATCAAATGCAACAATCTTTAGTGCTCCTTGTCTGCTTATATAAGGGTTTATTTAGAATGGTTTATAAGTAACTTTCAATGATTTACAAAATAAGAAAAAAACATGTGAGAAAAATTTGTTTCCATTTACATGAAATATGCTAATAACTGCTTATAATCGTGATCTCAAACGAAACCTAAATGATGAATAATGCACAAATCCAATTCACCGTGTTCTCATGACCCGGATATTGTCGAATGGGCCCAAGCGTCTGTATGGGCTGGGCAAAAAATGAATGGGCCAAGAATGATGTCAAGGCCTGTTGAGGGTGAAAGAAACGGAGTCATATCAAATCCACGTTTTTTTTCCTGACCAACAAAATTTTAGATATCAAATGTGTCGTCTAAATTAGATTTTTTTTTTTTTCCAAACAGAACTGAGTCTAGTGAAAATAACTAATTCTTCATAACATAATGAATCCAGTTTGAATTACTATTAAAAAAAGTACCTACATTTAGTGTCTATATATATAAAATAAATAAATTAGATTTTTTTTACTTTTTTGATTAGAGGAGCAGTATGAGGATGAAAATGGGATCCAACGCATAACCACTCACTGATAGAAAATTTTCATGTCATAAGACGACTAATGGCAAATTGACAAATCAAATTCTTCATAAACATCTCAAAGCTAATAGTGACGCTTCGGTGGAGCAACAAAATATTTTATTATGGAAAAATTAAAAAAAATCTAATTAAAAAGCTTATGGATGAAAATGATTTAAATCAGAGTATTAATGCGTGTGTACCAAAATTTGTAGTGCACCAGTATAATGTATATATTAAAATTTATCACGTTTTTGTTACGACTTCCTCCATTTTTTTAAAAATATAATTAATGAAAAACGAGTTAAAATTAGTTAGGTGCAATAAACATGTAAAATTAATTTTTTTTTTCCAAAAATATCCTCATTTATGAAAAATGTGGGTGTGAGAGAGAGTGGGAAAAAGAGATGAGACAGACATTTAATTAATTGACGGTAAAACTGAAGAAAATATATTAAACATTCAAAAAGCTCTAAAATGTATCTTATAAAAAGAAACTTGGCTATTCAAGAAATTGTCTCATATAAAAAAGAGCGGAAGGAGACAGAGAGTAATAAATTTTTAATGGGGATTTTCTTCGATTTTTTCTATTTATTTTGATTGGGGATATTTATTACAATTTGCAAGAGAGGCTCGTGAATGTGGTGTTTGCTAGAACAGCTACCATCAGAGTGAAACGACGGCATTTCCTTTTGTCTGGGCATATGCACAGAATGTGCCTTCCTTCTCCCCCAGAAGCAAAGGCGAATGCAATCTTCCCACTCCGTCATCTGCTCCGCAATTCACTCTTTCCATTCGATTCCTTCAGAAGCTTGCTTTTTTAACTCAAACGCATACTTCAATCCCCACTTCCCATTAGACAATTCCAAAACAGTGTCTTGCGGTGAAGGTATCGCTAAGTTTCACACGCTTCCCTGTCCATTTTTTTCTGCGTCATTCACTTCTTTGCCTTCTTCTGCATCTTGGGCTTCTCCGTTTTCCTCTTCTTCCTCCATGGGAACCCCAGAAAACATTCTCGAACCTGAAGCTCAGAAGTATGTGTATTCGGTGTGGGCTCAACCAACGGAAGATGTGCGGGATAGGATGAAGAAGCTGATGAGCGGCCTCCGATCGGAGTTCGGTGGGCCTGAGTTTGAACCCCACATAACAGTCGTAGGCGCGATCAGACTGACTGCCGATGACGCTCTCAAGAAGTTCCGGTCCGCGTGTGAAAGCCTCAAGGCTTATAATGCCACCGTTGATCGTGTGGCTACAGGGACTTTCTTTTATCAGTGTGTTTACCTTCTGATTCATCCCACCCCTGAGGTACTCTTCCAATTTTCTTTTCTAGTTTTTTCTGTCGTTTAGTTATTTTAATTTCTGGTCTCTGTTGTTAGTTTTGTATTAGTTAATGGACAAGCGATTGATCCACATGGCATTGAAATTGTTGTTCGTGTTCCTCTAAGGTTTTGAATTTTGATTATGAAGTTGTCAAATCAGCACCGATTCTGGACATGTGCTTTGACTGTAATGCATTTTGACAGTTAATATGTTATCTGTGTTAAATACTTCCATTCCTATTGATCCATTTTAGTTTGTATCTGTTGTGGTCATGGACATTGATTTTCTGCTGCAGGTTTATTAAAGCATTTCTCAGAATTGTAAAATTGGAATTGAAGGGGGGGCTTAATTTTTTCCCATTAACTTTTGAGCAATAATATTGACATAAAGTTATACTTGTGCATGGCCAATTCCTACTTATGACCCAAATTTGGAAGGCTTTCTCATGTCATTTTTATTTTGATTTTCTCCATTTTTAATTTCTTTTCCTCAACAGGTAGTGGAAACTAGCGATCACTGCATCAGTCATTTTGGTTACAATAGATCATCTCGTAAGTTACATGATATTATTTTTTGCCTGAAGCTTTATCTTTTTGCTGGCTTCTAGTGGAAGTCTATATACAAAAGTAAATCCGTTTTGTTTTACCACCTATGAAGCTGTCAGAATGCAGAATCAAAACACAGGAAAGTATTGTATTGCTCACTAATAAGAAAATCCTCTCGGTTTTTTAAATTCAGATCATGAAGCTGATTAAAATATATCAACCATATTTATGAGAGATTTGCTAGAGTTTTACGTTAGCTGACCCTCTATTTGGCCTTGGGACCAACTATAAAACATAGGCAGAGTTATGTTAACATTGAGATGTGTTTTACACATTTCAGATGTTTGTTGTAGTAATAAGTGATGACTTATGATAAAGAATAGCCATGAAAAGAATATCTTAATGTGACAGAGATCTTAGGCTCTTACTGGTTAAGCGAAGCCTCTTGTAGCCAAACTCTAGAAGAAAACAGAGGCTGCAATACTGGATGCAATTCTATCTCCTTTATCCTTATAATTAAGTGCAGTTTTGAGTACACAAGAAGTGTAGTTTTAGATAGTGTACTAAAATTCCCCTTCACTTTCATTTGAGATAACTCATTTAAACTTTTATGGTTTAGCGTTGGAAACAGGGTCAGGACATTTCACTCCCACACAAGGCTTCTCCATTTTCTTCTCACCTCCTTTATTTACTTCCCACCTAATGGGATTGCTTCGTGTGCCAAGGAAAGTTTAGCCTTTTGAGTCGTACCTTTCTTAACCAAAAATGGAAAAGAAGAGTTATAAATACCCAAGGGTGAGAGTATGGCGTCAAGTGGCATATCCTTTTAAATCCGTTTGCTTTCTGAGTACAAACCCAGGTCTTTGGCTTCTCAAATACTTTAGTTCTTTGAAACTTAGATATCAATGACATCTTGATGAAAGAACATTTAGTTTTAACTCTCAGGTGACATGTTTAGGTTTAAGTTGACATATGCAAGGTTAAAATCTCTCAACCAGTATAATAAAACTATATATGGAGATAATAGGGAAAAACTCTCTTTTGCTCATGCTTATGTTGTTTGTGTTTGCAGCTTACATGCCACACCTGAGCCTTCTGTATGGAGATTTAACTGATGAGGAGAAGAAAAGGGCTCAAGAAAGAGCCAATGCTCTCGATGACGTCAGTGGGTTGAGCTTTCAAATAAGTCGCCTTGCATTATACAAGACAGACACTGAAGACAAAACTCTGAAATCCTGGGAGAAAATTACTGATTGTGTTCTTAGTCCAAGTTAGCTTTGCTTCTTATGACCTATTTTGATGATATCTGTTGAGGATTTGCTTGTGACTTAAATTTGACTCAATCCACAGTCTCATGAACCATATTAGGTCCCTGTTACTCTATGGAAATGATATAGAAAAGAGCAGATATGATCCTCGAGTGAAAAAACAGGGAACAAGCTCAATTTTTTATTTTTTATTTTTTTTGAGGTCAGGAGGGAACAACCTGAAGTTGAAAGAAGTGCACTGAATTTTATCTTGGTATGCATGTGGTTTTAAGGGCAGGTTTGTCTATCCAAAGTTTAATTATATCAAGTTTGAAGAAATTTAGATGTTGCACAATAAAAAGGCACTAAATTAAAGATTTCTTGGCTAAACCATGCGTGTAAATTAAATACACCATATAGCCAAAATAAAAAGAATGAAAAACAATCATGGCAATTGCAAAACGGTAACAATGAAAAGATTCAAAGGATTGTTGCTTGGTAGTTGAGCAAACTTGATAGTAACTTGAGCTTTACGAACTTGTGCCCTTGGGGAGGAATGTGAAGCAGAGAAAGTCAGTGCCGTGGTTTTGGACTTGTTAAACCACAGTTTACAATGCACCTAAGAAACTCTGTATTTAGAGTACCCTGCAAGACGTAAGGAACTCCAAATTTATATTAAACCAAACTTCACATTTAGAAAACTTGTCATGAAGCTGTTATTATTCCATCAAATACGGATGGTGTTCATGATTTTGTTGAATCTTTGCATATGCGATACCACCAATAAACATAACTATAAAGTTTCAAAAAAAGGTTTAAACACTTATTTATCAAGCGAAGAAGCAAGAGAATCGCGTCCATAATGATTTTTTTTTTAATTACTCTTATTGATACTCCATCAACTATAATTAAATAGGAGAGGAAACAAAAATATTAAGAAAGATAATTATAGTGTTTTAAGAAAAACATGTCATATTTTTTATAATTAACTAACTTACTTAATTTTTTTAGTATAATCAAATTAATTAAACAGGTCTTAAATTAAGGAACGAACGAGTACATAAGATGTTTTGAATAGCTTTTTTATGTGAACATAGTTTTATGAAAATATTTTTTTTTTTAAGTCCTTGGTTATGAGGATGGCAGGGGATGTTGAAATTAGGTTAGAACGATGAAGGCGTTTTGGGTTGAACGTTGTAGTTGTAGACATTGTGTATGTTTGCGAGAGCAATTTATGGGCCATAAATAGCTTATTTTGCAGCTAAAACCCGATTTAGAAAGCCAGCCTGTTTGAGAAAGATTGTACAAGACCGCACTTGGGGGCTAAAAATGGGACTAAGCGCGCGATTCACCTTAAGCTGGGGGAGGTGACTTTTTCAAGTGGCAATCGGGTTTAGGACCGTTGGAAATTGTCGGAATAATATTTTTCTCTCACTCCTCCTATTATTCTCTTATTATTTAATAAAACTCATGTTCATTTGGGTCGTTTTACAACCTTAATATACCTTTATTAGATCATAATCCAAACAATCTTTTATTCAAATTAATTTTTACAAACTAATTTTTATAAAATCTAATCTAAACACAATTCACATTACTCGATCTAATTTTTGTTCAATCTTATTTTTTCAAAAATCAGATTGCAAATAAATTACTTTTTCTACCGCTAATCTAAATGAACTTATTATTTTCATCTTCAATCAACTTTCAGGTCTCAGTTGTTTTCTTTTTCCCTCTTTCCAAATATGACGTGGATTTAATTAAAATGCCATCTCAACTTCTTTTACTAGAGTCAGCTCTCTCTTTTTTTGTAATTTTCAACAAATTATAAATATAATGAGTTAAAATTAAGAAATTGAGTCATAATTAAGTTAAATATACAAAGAGTAAAAGATTAATTTTTCCTGTTATTTAAATTTACATTTTGCGTTATTAATGTCGTATAAAATAAGTGTGATACTTATGATTTTAATGTTAATGGGACTCCAGCTTTTGTTTGTCACTCGCTATTTTTCAAAGAGGTTGCAACGGTAGTTTTTATGTTATATATAGAGTGATGGACTACTCCTCCGGCTCTTGATATAGGGCCTAATTGTTGAGTTGATTTTGATTTTAAATATAAGACCTATTTCTCATATTTATCATTTTTTCTAAATTACCCCTATAGATACTTTCTCAATTACAATAAAGTAGAAGATGAGGGAGGATATTAAGAAAGATGATTATAGTGTTTTAGAAAAAAATATCATATTTCTTATAATTAACTAATTTATCTAACTTCCTTAATCTAATCAAATTAGTTAAATATGTATTATATTAAGGACCGGAGGGATATTATATTATGAAGTAAAATATTCTAACTTCTCTAAGAATATTGTCAAAAGATATTTTTCAATTAAAAATGATATTAAAATAAATTACATTTATTAATTTCCTTTTCATCATATTATATTTATAATTTTGACTAAAATTGGTTTAAAGAATTTAAAATTTTTCTTTTTTGTAAATATTTATTTATTTAGTGTTTTCATTATATTAGAACAGTAACTCAGATAATTTGATTAATGTAGATATAATAAATGTGTTTATATATACACACACTTGATTAGATGTGTTTATAAATGTTCGAGGCAGAACATAAGTTTAAAAATTTTGGATTTATAAATTTAAATGATTTATACAATATCTTAAAGTTACATTATTTATCAATTTAATTGAATAAAAATGTGTTTGAAATGTGTTTTTATCAATTTAATTAAAAAATAAATAAATTTCAATAAATATGATATAAATTCAAAATGACAAAATTTTATAATATCATCAAAATTAAAAAAAATTATAACATATTAAAGAACTTTAAAAAATATTTATTATAATTTTTTACGAACTAGAAATGCTTAAATAAAGACAATACATGCATCAAGTTCCTTATATCAATTATGCCAAGTTCTCCAATTACACATGATTATGTATCATATTTTTAAAATACCAGTATCTAATAGTATTTAATTATAAATCCATATGAAATGAAAAAGACTAAGCGTGATTGAATAACTTAATACTTGCAAGTTTTATAATTAAATTAAATACTTTATGAATATTTTTTTTCCTCTATTTTTTTTCAAGTGTCAAGAGAATGAAATCAGTCTGATTTTTTGGATGAGGATAATGAGTAAGGAGGGTTTTGGTCCCAAAAAAAAAAAACAAAAAGAAAAAGAGTCAGGAGGGCCCTCACACATGTCACGTGTTGGAATCGGAATCGTCTTCGTTCCCGGATAATTGGATTTGGAATGGCGAGCTGATCTTATTTACAGGCATGATGACAACAATATCTGTGCAGGCTTTGCTAAGGTCCGGTTCGTGACAGATCGAGCGAAGGATGATGCAGAGAAATTCGCTTCTCTGTACTTCAAGTGCATTCTCTTCCTTGCCCAGCCCTCCCTTGACCTCTCAGCGACCAGCTCTTCCATTCCAGCTACCTCCGTTCCCGTCTTCTTGGACCTTTACACTTCAACAAGACGACCTTTTCCAGCTTTGTACATCACTGGTAAAAGCCACTTATGTTTTTCTCTCTGGGTTTTATATAATTAGAAGTTGCATTCTATAATTTTGTTGTTTTACACAATCCTTTTTGTAATAGGTTGCAATGAGTTCTCGATACATCATATAATATTTGTTTCTCTCTAGAACTTTTATGTATCATTTTTGTACTTCAAAATCGTGAAGGGAAAAATGTGAAACTTTCCATGATAAAATGATTAAAAAAAAATCCTTTTTGCTGGAGCTAATTAAGTAATTAATACTAAAGTTTTTCTATTTTGGCAAATTAAGGCCTTAAAATGCATTATTCAACACTGACCATAATTCTTATCAGAAAAGTGGTGGACCCTTGGGAACTGTCGTTAATGTTTTCAATAGTGGAGCCAATGATCTACTGCAAGTTTTGCTTGATTCATCTTTTGATATACTTCGCAAAAGTGGCGAGCCCAGGTCAGCAGAAGCAGAAGCGTCCAATCAGCTTGTTTGGGTGCCTTTTGACTTTTGTAGAAGCAATTGTACTTGATGTTGGTATGACTAGAAGAGAAATGCATATTACACCGCCTAAGGGACTCCTAGAACTAAACTTGTGATCCAAAAAAGAAAGATCAACTCGTGAGGCATATACTCTTTTGACTCTACCTTTAATTTGCTACTTTTAGGGACTTTGAGCTTTTCAGTATGATTATTGCTGATGCTGTGCTACCTTTCTTAATCTCTTTAATCTTAAGGGGAATAGAGGGTAAGGAATTTATGTGCAACTTGGTTTATGACTGTATGCTTGATGCTTTCTTTTGGTCTTCTTTATTTTTTTCTCCTACTTTTTCTGGGTCCAATACCTGCCAGTTGATTCACATGATTCCTAACCGAAAGGGACTTAGACTTTCATAATGTGGCATTCAGCTGAACCTATCAACATCCATATTTACTGGATCACTTCTTTTTATTAGTTTTTTTTTTGGGTTCCCTGGCTTAATCATATTTGACATGGTGTTTGTATCATGGATCAATGATACCAATACTTTAGAAGTTTCAAAAGCGCCTTATAGCTGCCAAAAAAAAAGAGTGTGAAATGGAGCAACAACATGTATTCCATGGATTTAGATACGGAGAGAAAGAACAAGGGAGATTGCTTGCGGATCAGATTTTTTCTGTAAACTCTAAATCGCTTCAGAATGCTTTACAACGTATTGAGAAACCACCCCAAGAGGTAAGTTGGCTGAACTGATTATATGTTGTCCCAACTCCCGTCCTGCTACCATAAAGAAGAAAAAGAGAAATTGTTTTATTATGAGAGTAAACCTATTGTTGCCTAAATTATTTTGCTATTTGATACATACAGGACTTAGAAAAATAATGTGAGAGTTCACCATAATATATAGAAACTTTTTTCAGCAAACGATAATTCTGAAGGTCTTTTGAACACCAAGGTTTGAACACAACATAATAGGAGATTTTGGCATCTTATAATATAATTACTCGTTGGTTAATTGTCAGATTTCTTTTTTTTTTTTTTTGGGAAGTACTGAAAAACAATGTTTGTTGTTTTGTGGCTCTTGTAACGCAATGTCTAATGTTCTCTTTTATATTTACTTAAGTTTTACCTTTGCTAAACCAGATGGGAAGTAGCTGAGTTGGTTGGTTCTTTGGATGCAAAGCTTGTAAGTACTAAACAGATATCAAAGGAATCTCTCTTCAGCGAATAAAGTAGAGGAAATTTGGGCAAGAGTATCAACATGCATGAGAAGTGTCTTCATCTCATATCTGGGGGCAAAATGGCTATTGTCTTGCTTTTGAATAAAAAGGAGAACTAGGGTGGCATTTGTGACCCTGATACTACTTCAAATGAAACAATTGAGATTTCATCAGCTCCCCTCCAGGAATTACTCTCTGATGAAAATTTGTTAAAGATTTTGAACTCTGATAAAAATTGATCATGTAATTAAAATTGGTATCAGTAAAGCTGATTTCTGAGATATTGCTAGGCTGTGACTTTCTGAAATGTAACACTGAAATACCATAAATAACAGCAATGATCTTTGTTGCTGTCTTTTGGTTTTTAATATAGCACCTTTTTTTATTGTCTAATAAATTTGTGCTTCTTTCAGGTGGAAGATCGTGCTTCTGTGCCTTCAATTTTGGTTTGCTCAACCCAAGAAATTGTGCCTTTAAGAAAGTTGTTTCCAAGGAACAATTACTTTGCATTTGACTCTGAAAAGGTTCTCATCATACCTAGGATCTTCTTTATATCATGTATTGCCTTATTAATGATCTATCATTTGGATTTGGTTTTATACTTTCTTTCACTTTGTCCAATACCTGCCCATTGATTTGCATGATTCCTAACCCAAGGAGACTGACTTTCATAATTTAGCATTCAGCTAAACACATCAGCATCTATATTAGACATGGATTTTTATAAAAATAATACGTAAGTTTAATTTTTATCTGAAATAAAATTTCATTCTCCTGAAAAAGGAAAAATTAGAAATATTTCTAGAAATTTTTGCAAATAATTATTATATATTAATTTGTAAAAATATTTATTTTTCATTTGGTTCTTTTACCCAGTTTATATGTAATAAAAATAGAAAAATATTTTTTCCAAAAAAGGTCAAGAATTGTTGGCGCCAAGATATCGTTATGAATTAGCATTTTTTCCAGTATCAACTAGTTAGCCTTAATTTCTTGATTCATTTCCATCATCTGAACTTCAAATAATTATTCAGCGATTGTGCATAAATCGTCTTTTCAGCGAGAGATGGAGCATCTTCCGCGAGACATCATTGAAAACATCTTCATCAGAATCCCAATCAAGTCCCTTCTACGAGCTCAATTTGTTTGCAGAGATTGGCCAACCATCATCCGTACCCCATCTTTCAAGGATTATTACTTGGACGAATCCCCTCATTATAACCCTTCCCTCCTCCTCCGACGGGATGGCCTAGATGAGCAGGCTCCTGTGGATTTACGGGTTCTTAATTGCCAGAAGCAACTATACACCCTTCCGAAGCTACCTAAAGGTATAACGTATGTTGGTATAATAGGTTGCAGCCATGGCTGCCTTCTTATTCTTGGACCTTCTGTTTCATTTTTCATTTGGAATCCCACTTTTACACATGTCATGGAGGTACCCCGAAAGAATTCTGATTTTGTGGGTGATAGACATATAGGATTTGGGTTCCACAAGGATTTTAGATTTTAGTATGTTTCCGGGGGGAAACGAGGAGAGTGTCAGCCGTGTGGAACTCTTTTCTTCTCTCACACAAAGTTGGAGGGAGATAGGATTCCAGAAATTTGAAGGGTTGTTCTTTCATTATGGAACTGTTTCTTGCAATGGCATCATGTACTGGGGGGTTATCGGCTTGATATGGAAAATGAGGGAGGGGATATCAGCGAATTAGTTATCAGTTTTGATTTAGCGACTGAGGAGTTTTTCATTATGCCTTTACCAAACCTTGACCCTGATGTTAAAGATAAGTTGCATATCTATCAGAATACAATGAGCCTTCTAACGCATTGTAGGAGGAGTGATTATTATATGGTAAAACTATGGCTTTATTGGACCTGCATGTATTGAGTCCAATCTATATTGAGTCTAGTCCATTTCGATTGTTTGTATTCTTGTTTCTGCTCTGTACATATCCGTTATAATTCTTGTTGGGCCTGTTGCTCGTTTCTGTTTAGGCCCATTAGACTGGTAGCCCTATTTAAAGGGTGGATCTTTTGTAGTCATGTATGAATCATTATTTTTCATATTGAATAATATAGAGAATTTCTTCAATTCCTCTGTACGTTATCATGGTATCAGAGCATAGGCTGATCCAGGTCCATCAATGATTTTTCAAGTGGCCCATTAGAATGAGCCTACCACCACCGATCTGAAATTCAAGAATCAAAGACCATCACTTCAACAAAAACACCCAGTTCTTTCAACTACTGCCGTCGAACCAAGAACCCCGAAGAAACTACTACTGCAAACCCTAACACGATACCGATGAATCATCATGGGCGGAGAGAAGGATTCTGGCAACCCTATGATCGATTTCGCTAGCCCGCTCTTTCTTCACCCATCTGATACACAAGGGACATCGATAATCGGGCAGATCCTCACTGGCAGCGAGAATTATACAATCTGGAGCAAATCGATGATGATAGCCTTGCGCGGAAAGAACAAAGTGGGATTCATAGATGGCTCGTGTAAAAAGGAAGAACAAGATCTTAAATTTTTCGATCACTGGGAAAGGTGCAATGCTGTTGTATTATCGTGGATCTTGGGATCTGTCTCCAAGGACCTTGCGAGCAGTCTGGTATATTTTCAAGATGCACATACAGCCTGGGCAGACCTTAAGGAGCGGTTTGATAAGATTTCTGGCTCGCGTATCTTCTATCTGTATCAGGAGATTCACTCACTACGTCAAGGGAAACTCACCGTATTTGCATATTACTCGCGGCTGAAAGAGCTATGGGAGGAGTAAGGAAACCTCATGGCAATCCCATCCTGTAAGTGTGCCACTTCCCAAGCCTACCACAAAGCAACACAACGTCAGAAGATGCTGCAGTTTTTAATGGGTCTGAATGAGACCTACATGAATGCAAGGAGTCAGATACTCCTCATGCAACCTCTTCCCACAATCAATCAAGCATACGCAATGATTCTGGACGATGAAGCACAGAAGAGCATTGCCAACTTGGAGAAAGTGAATCCCAATGATGGGATGGCTATGGCAGTGAGGGGGAGAGGAAGAGGAAGAGAAAAAGGAAGAGGCAGAGGTGGTCCATTACCTGAATGTGACCACTGCCATAAGAAAGGTCACACCAAGGATGGGTGTTGGCAGATAATTGGGTTCCCGTCAGACTTCAAAGGGAACAAATTCAAACAAAGTCAAGAGGCAAAGGGGAATTAGAGTGCTGGGAACCGAGAGGCAGAGGCTCTCACCAACACTTCAAGCGTGGTCTCCCCAAGCTTTACTCTTGAGCAATATGAGCGGTTGCTGGAGATACTAAAGAAGGATGCAGAAAGTAACGCTCACGCTCTCACTGGTACATGTTTGCATAATCCTCCTATCACTACTTTAAATCATAGTAACTGGGTTATTGACTCTGGAGCCACAACTCATATGGTTAGTGACTTAGGCTTGCTGGATAGCTATAGAGATTATAATAGACCCATTAAAACTATCAGAATTCCTAATGGTGATAGGTTCCCTGTTACACACGTAGGCAATGTAATTTTTCCTAATGGTATAGAATTAGTAGGAGTTTTGTATGCTGCTGAAGTTTAACTTGATATTTGTTTCACGTATAACAAAAGAAACATTGTGTGTTGTATCCTTTTATCCTGATAAATGCACCTTGCAGGGCCTTCTAGATGGAAAGATGGGGGGATTGGTAGAGTAGATCATGGTCTATATTTGTTACGGTTGGAAAAAGATCATACTTGTATGAATTCAGTTCATAATTGTTCTTCTGACAAGCATGTTGATTTGTGGCTTCTGCATGAAAGAATGGGACATGCTCCCTTGAATGTAATCAAACATTTGGATATAGTGAAAGATAAATCCACATCAATGAATAAAACTTGTTGTACTTGTTTCCAATCTAAACAGACCAAACTCCCCTTTCCCTCTAGCTGTATAAAGACTGTTAAATGCTTTGATTTACTTCACATGGATGTATGGGGACCCTATAAAGTTCCCACACATTCTGGTTTTCAGTATTTTCTAACCATAGTGGATGATTTTTTCTAGAGCCACATGGACTTATCTCATGAAGAATAAATCAGAAACAATTTATCACATTAAGAGTTTTCTTGCCTATGTACAAAATCAGTTTGATACATGTGTCAAGAGAGTGATGAGTGATAATGGAAGTGAGTTTGTCAACCACGATTTGAGTAATTACCTAAGAGAACAGGGAATAATACATGAAACAACTTGTCCCTATACTCCTGAACAAAACGGTATAGTGGAGAGAAAGCATCGGACCTTGATGCAGATATCCAGAGGTTTAATCATACAGTCCGGCCTGCCTATTAGATATTGGGGGGAGTGTGTTAAGACTGCCACTTATCTTGTCAATAGGACTCCCAGTAGAATTTTAAAATTTCAAACTCCTTATCAGATAATTCATGGGCGAGTTGCAGATTATAGCCTTTTGAGAGTCTTTGGTTGTTTAGGATATGCTATAGATTTGATTAATACAGATAAATTTAAGCCTAGGTCAATACCATGTGTTTTTTTGGGGTATCCTACTCATCAAAAGGGGTATACTTTATTGAATCTAGCAGACCACAAAATATTTGTAAGTAGACATGTTAAATTTCTAGAAAATATTTTCCCTTTTAAAAATAGGAATAGTACTGATCAAGGGGGAGTTTCTACTGAGATAAAACAGATGTTCTTTTTTGATGATATAACTGATGTACCGAGGCAGCTTACACAACCCACAGTAAATGAATCTCTTGAAGAAGGAAATAGGACAGATAATTAGAATCAATCTTCTTCTAGCGGTAATGGATATGACAATGAACATAAAGACTGAAGATCTAATAGGGATAGAAGACCACCTATATGGGCCAGTGATTACGTTTGCAATCTTGTAAATTCTAACCAATATCAATCAGGATTAGAACGAAACTTCAAGTCAAGTTGCAAATATCCCATCGAAAATTATATTTCATATCATGATGTATCTTCTTCTCATATGTGTTTTCTTTGTTCAGTTGACTTTGTTACCAAACCTGCTTGCTATAAAGAAGCTATCAAAGATCATAACTGGATAAAAGCTATGAGGGATGAAATCCAAGCTTTAGAAGAGAATAGGACATGGGATATCACCCCATTACCTAAAAATAAGAAATCAATTGGTTGTAAATGGGTTTACAAGGTAAAATACAAACCAGATGGGACTATTGATAGATATAAAGCTAGATTGACAGCAAAGGGTTATAATCAAGTAGAAAGGATAGATTATAATGAAACTTTTTCACCTGTTGTGAAAATGGTGACCGTAAGGACTGTTTTGAAATTGGCTGCAGTAAATAATTGGTCATTGTATCAAATGGATGTGAATAATGCCTTCTTACAAGGAGACCTTAAAGAAGAAGTTTACATGACCAAACCCCAAGGATTTGAGAAACATGGAAATAATATGGTTTGTAAGCTTAAGAAATCTCTATATGGGCTTAAACAGGCCTCTAGGCAATGGAATCAAAAACTATCATTGTCTTTATTAAATGCGGGTTTCATGCAAAGCAAGTATGATTATTCACTGTATTTCAAGCACTATGATGATGGATTTGTAGTTATCTTAGTCTATGTGGATGATCTTCTTATTACTGGAAATAATGAAGAAAGAATTGAACAGGTTAAATGGTTTTTGCATAGTCATTTTAAGATCAAAGATTTGGGAAGTATGAAATATTTTCTAGGCATAGAAATTGCTAGATCTTACAAGGGAATTATATTGTCACAAAGGAAATATGTTCTTAATTTGCTTATAGAGACAGGAATGACTGGATGCAGACCACTTACATTGCCAATGCCACAGCACTTAAAATTAGTGGCATATGAAGAAAAGAAGCATCAACAAGAGGATTTGCTCAAGGATCCGGGAAAGTACCGAAGGCTAGTAGGTAAATTGATTTATCTGATTATGACTAGACCTGATATCTCTTTTCCGGTGCAGGTACTTAGTTCATGCAGTCACCCATGAAATCTCACTGGGCAGCGACATTAGGAGTACTAAGATACTTGAAGCAGTCCCCTGGACTTGGAATCCAGTTGAGTTCAAGTGGAGACTTTGGTTTGCAGTGTTTTTGTGATTCAGACTGGGGATCCTGTGAGACCACGTGTAGGTCAGTCACAGGATATCTTCTCAAACTAGGAGATTCCCTCATTGCCTGGAAAACTAAAAAGCAGGCCACGGTTTCCAGGTCTTCAGCTGAAGCTGAATACCGCGCCTTGGGCTCAGCTGTGTCTGAGGTAATATGGGTTAAAGGACTACTATCAGACTTAGGAATTGTTATAGGACGTCCAGTAAGTGTGTATCGTGATAGCAAGTCAGCTATTTATATTGCTACAAATCCTGTTTTCCGTGAAAGGACTAAGCACATTGAGATAGACTGTCACTTTGTTAGAGAAAAAGTGGCAGAGGGATTAATAAAGCTTCAACACGTGAGATCTGCTAATCAAGAAGTAGACATTCTGACAAAGGCTGTAGGAAAGGAAACACAAACTAGATTGCTTAACAAGTTAGGTGTTTATGACATGTTTCAACCCCAAACTTGAGGGGGAGTATTGGACCTGCATGTATTGAGTCCAGTCCATTTCGATTGTTTGTATTCTTGTTTCTGCTCTGTACATATCCGTTATAATTCTTGTTGGGCCTGTTGCTCGTTTCTGTTTAGGCCCATTAGACTGGTAGCCCTATTTAAAGGGTGGATCTTTTGTAGTCATGTATGAATCATTATTTTTCATATTGAATAATACAGAGAATTTCTTCAATTCCTCTGTACGTTATCAGGCTTCCCAAGGAAAGTGGGGATTGGGGCAGGAAGCTGTCTCTGAAGATCACAATTGAAGCGTGCTGGCTAATGTATCCCCTTGCCATATGGCAAGATGAGCTGCTCTGCAACTTCAGTGGTGGAACTGACTGTGAAACAGGTTCATAAGTATCCATTTTGTCACTCTTAGACATAAATAATCATGAAGTAAAGATCATTAAGTCCACTAAAAAGGCTAATGGCTTTTTATAGGTAAAATGACATTTATAGACCTAGCCAGATTATTAATTACAATGAAATATCGTAGTACCAAATTTTAGAAATTTTAGAGAAGTACTAGGATCCTTAGATGAAATTAATTATACACGGATAGGGGGTGGATATTCACAGATTAGGATTTCGATTGATTTTCTTTGGGTTATTAACTTTTTCCCCTCCAATTTTTTATATAATTTAAATCAAGTTTAAAATAAGTACTATTTTAAAATGGAATTAGTGCTTTTTAGCAGTGGTGCGCAAATTTCCTCCCAACGACCAATAGCTGCAGGGCTCTAGCCTCTAGCAAGGCCATTTTTGTTCACCTATTTTTTAATTGGTAAAAAAAATTTTTATCTAGTTTTATATGATATTTTAGTTTCATTTCTTAATTTTATAAAGTATCTTTTTTATTTGCAACACATACTATTATTAATTTCAAATGATATTTTTTGTGTCCATCAGTATAAAATTAAAAAAAGATTAAGCTTAATATGTCGATATCTACTAATATTTCATTAACATTTAAAACTTCAATATCAATTTTTTGTTAATAAAATTAGTAGTATTAAAATTAGGGAACCCAAAAATTAAGATGTCAAAATGAAATATTTTATTAAATTAAAGGATTGAGAATGCACTTATGCCTTTTTAATTTGATCCACCGAGCCCGGTTGTTTTTCAGAATTTCTTAATAGTTCTGGCCTTGTATCGCGG